AGTGAGCAGAACCAAGAGGACTTTGTACACAATAACAGCCACGTTATGCGATGACTAATATTGTTAAACTCAACCCTTCTCAGCATTACGAGGATCTAAGACATCTCCAGAGGCCTCGGGATGGAAAATGCTGTCCACATCCAAAGAAAGAACTATGGAAGTCGAATCGCTATCACTTATTTTTACCTCCTGTTGAGTTTTGTTTCATCTTTCTGATGATTCCTCCTGTTGGTTTTAATTTTTACTTACAACTTCACTAATGTGAAAATATGTTTAATGGGTATGTAAATGTAAAGCCTATATCAGATTGTGCACTGTCTTGGGGAGGGTTGGGGGGAGGAAGGGGGAGAAAAATTTTCAACTCAAAAGCATATGGAAGTGATTGTTGATAAATCAAAATAAATTAATAAAATTAAAAAAACAAAACAAAACAAAGACAGAAAAAAAATACCAAAATTTATGGGTTGCAGCAGAAGTAATTCTTAGAGGTAAAAATTTATATGTTTACATTAACAAAAGAGAAAAAGAGAAGATTAATGAGATGATTTTTCAATTTAAAAAATGAGAAAATCAACAAATTAATGCAACTAAAATAAACTTAAAAGAAGATATCACTAAGACAAAAGGAGAAATAAACATACTTGAAAGCAAACACATACAACTAAATTAAAATAAATGAATTTTTTAAAGTTTAACAAAATTGGCAAACTGTTAAATGAATTAACCAAATAAGAGAGGAGAAAATCAAATTACTGAAATAAAAAAAATGAGGGAAAAAATACCTAATTGAATAGTGAAGACAGTGAAAGAAAAACAACAGCAACATGCACTCATATGCCAAAAAACTGAGAATTTAAAAGAAATGGATGATATTCACAACAATATAGAAGACCCAAATTGATCAATCCAGTGAAATGCATTAGGGAAAACCATTAATGAATTACAATGCAAATGCACGCACACACACATGTGCGCACACACACACACACACACACACACACACACTGATCAAAGAACAAATAATTTTGATACTATGTAAATTGTTTTCAAAAATAGAAAAAGGTGTCGTTTTACCAAATTTTTCTTATGTCTAAAATACAGTTCTGATCTTCCAACCATCCGAAGGCATATCAAGGGAACTACAAACCAATATTATTAATGAATACTGAATGCAAAAATATCATGGCAAACGTAACACAGTTGCGTAGTTTAAAAATTGTTCATGTGATCAGGCGGGGCTTATGCCAGGAATGTAAATATGACTTAATATCAGGAAACAGCATGAGAAGTGGTATTAACAAAATATTTAAAATTCTAACTTATCAGTAGATACATAAAGACCTTTTGATAAAACACTTTATATTAAAAGCACTAAAATGACTAGGAATGGAAGTTCTCATGACAATAGAAGCCTTTAGTTGAACCCAGGAGCCAGAATTACATGCAGTGGAGAAATCTTAGAAAATTCTCCTTATTCATGGACAGCAGGGACAGGGATGAGACCTGTGGAACTCCCAGATGAAGGCACTTCCGTCAGTGCAAGTTGGCATCTCCTCTGTGACCTACAGTCTTAGAGAGCTACCTAGAATGCCGAGAGGCTAAATGACTTGGCCAGGGCCATATAGCCATTATATGTTGAAGGCTGGACTTGAACCCAGGTCTTCTGGACTCCAAGGACAACTCTTGAATCACCATGCCAATATGATTGCTTATTAAGAAAACTTAAGATAATCAGCAAATCTAGCTCAGGTACCTATAGTGAGGTAGTCAAATAAATATCACCAATAAAAAGAAGAGGAGAAAAGCAATAGAGAAATGTCACTTAAGATAATCACAAAATGTGTTGAATGTCTAGGAGTTCTTACCTAGCAGAGTATGAGCTCTGAAGGCAGGGGCCATTTGTCATTCTTGTCTTGGTACCCCGGCAGCTAGCACAGTGCTTTGCACGGAGTGGTCAGTTAATACGTGCCTGTTGATTTGATTGAATTGAAAACATATGGAACTTACGTAGTCAACTGTAAACCAATTTTATAGAAATAAAATAAAATTGAAAAGGTATTTGTTGTCTATCTTTAGGCTGAGATACTATACATATTATACTGCTTTTCCAAGTTAATTTATAGGCATATAGTTATTTCTATTGAAATATCCACTGGATATAGAATTAGACAAAAATAATAATTCATGTGGAAGAGCAAAAGGTCCAGAGTATCAGAGGAAATCAATTAAAAGAAAAAGGAAGAGGAGAGACCTCGTACCTTAGATTTCAGATTATACTACAAATTGGTAATTGTCTAAACTATCGGATTTTTAAAAATAGAATAACAGATCAGTGAATAGGTTAGACAGTAATGAGCTAGAGCTAGGTTTAGATGGTAAAGTGATCAGTAAACTTGAATCATAAACCAGTGGGGGGTGGGGGGAGCCCAGCTAGGTGGCTCAGTGGATAGAGCTTGGTGTCAGGAGGACCTGAGTTCAAATCTGGCCTCAGACACATAACATTCACTAGCTGTGTGACTCTGGGCGCATCACTTAACCCCAATTGCCTCACCAAAAAACAAACCAACCAAAAAAACCAACTGAGTTCAAATCTGGCCTCAGACACTTGACACTTACTAGCTGTATGACCCTGTGCAAGTCACTTAACCCCAGTTGCCTCACCAAAAAAAAATAAACCAATGGGGGAGATATTCACTATTCAATGAATTTAATGCTAAATTGTTAGCAAGCATTTTGATGGCAATTTGTTGAAAAAGAGCAGACCAAATTGCAAGACACACACACACACACACACACACACACACACACACACACACACACATTAATAATATAGTTTATAAACATAAATAGCTAGAGGACGAGGGATGATTAAAGTTTTCCCAATGCTGGAAGTTGTTATAAATTCTTAAATTGACTCAGAAAGTTGTGAGAGAAGATACTGGTGTTCAGTTGCATAAAAACAAAAAGCTTTTGCATTAAATAAACTAATGAACCCAGAATAAAGAGAGGAATGAGACAAACCAGGGGAAATTCTTATATCAAATGATTTAAAACAAATATGACATCCAAAATATAAAGAATTGACACTTTTACCAACGCGAGCTATTTTATGATTGATAAATTGTCAAAGGAACAAATAGACAATTCTCAAAAGAATTGTAAACTATCAGCAGTCACATGAAAAAATATTCAAAATCCCTAATCAGAGAAATGCAAATTAAAGCAACTCTGATCCAGCTGAGCCACAGACTGACAAAGATAAAAGATGGCAACTGGTAAGGCTGTGGTAAAACAGGCATAATATTACCCTGCTGATGGGGTTGTGAAGTGGTCCACTTTGGAAATCAGGGAAGCAGTGTGAAGTGATACATTAGTGGTTTTGAGTGTGCATGTCCTTTGATCCAGTGGTTCTGCTGCAGGGAATATGCCCCAAGGATGTTATTGACAGGGGAGAGATCAATTCACAAAAGTGTTCTTGACAGAGCTATTTGTGATGTCAAAAAAAAAAAAAGGGAAATGTACTAAGTGATGAACACATCAGTAAAGGGTTGGCTATTCAGAAACATTTTACATTAGATCAGGCTGAACAAATTATGGTATGTGAATATGATAGAATATTATTACATCCTAAGAAATGATGAGAGGCAGTGTGGTATACTAGCAATAGTCAGCTAACCCCAGACTGCTTCTGACACATACTGGCTCTGTGACCCTAGACAGATCATTTCACCTGTCAGTATTCCTTAGGACACCTCTCTAAGGCTGGAAATCACAGATTTGCATCAGAGGGGTTTCCTTATTGGGAGTTCCCAGTGTATACCAGTGGTGTCAAACTCAAATACAAGTAGGAAACACTAAGTTGTCTGTAAGGATTGCAGTGGTCCACATATTGACTTAGAAAACTACGCAGGTTTATAGTATAAAATCCAATAGAAACTACATTTTAATTGGATTTGGGCTGCACTTGGGAGCATTGTGGGCCACATGTGGCTTGTGGGGTATGTCTGACACCTCTGGTATACACTAATGAAATTATAGGTCTAACCCCCCTATTTCCCCCCAAAAAAAGATTATGAATATGAAGAATTCAAAAAAGTAGGACCTATATAAATACTTATGTAAAATTATGTGGAGTAAAGAAAGCAGAATCAAGTCAAGTCAGCAGACACTTATTAAGTGCTTACTATGTGCCAGGTATAGTGCTAATAGCTGATAAAAGAAAAATAGTCCCTGCCCTCGAGGAGCTTACATTTTAATAAGGGAAGGAAATGTATAAAAAGAAGCTGAAAAGGTGGGAGTTGGTAGAAGAAAAGATGAGAGATGAAGGAAGGCACTGGTGCAGGAGCATAGCAGAGAAAGTCTAGAGAGACAAGGTTAGCCTGGAGAGGAATGAAGACATGGCTTGCCTGGGCATCTTCCTCAAAATGAAGGTTCTGGAAAGAATCAGATAGTCAGAGGGGGGAAGCCACAGATGGAGAGTACTACAGTAAGTGAAGTCCAGGGATGGAGTGAGCTTCCACCGTGAAGAAAGAAGTTTTTGTGGCTTAGTAGAGAAAGTCTAAAAAGTTAATTCAGGCTAGAGAGAAATGAACCAAAAAAAAAATAATATCCATGTAGACTAAGCATGCTTAAAGAGACAAAATAGCAACAACAAAGAGCAAAATAAGCACCAGGAAAATAAAGATGAAGTGGGTATTGCTGTCTTTTTATAAAGGTAAGTAATGGAAGTTATAGACAAAATATGATAATTTATAATCTCTTGGGTGTTTTTTTGTTTCATTTTATCTCATGTGCTCTTTCTTTCTTATGTTTTATTCACATATTTGAATACCTGCACTTGTCAGTGGAAGTCAAAATAAAATGTAGATTAGAAGCAAATAGAGCTTGAAGGTGCACCTAAGTATCATATTTAGTAAATAGTGGCCTTTTAATGATCCAGACTGTTTTATATGAGATCAAGAACAACACTGTCATCTTATATTCTATCCTTGCTTTTGTAGGAGATGGTCCATTTCCTGGTGTGATTGACATGTTTGGTGATGAAGGGGGACTACATGAATTTCGGGCTAGCCTTCTTGCTTGTCGAGGCTTTGCTACCCTAGCGTTGCCATATTTTGCCTTTGAAGATCTACCTCCCATCATGAAAGACTTAAATCTTGACTACTTTGCTCAGGCAGCTAAGTTTGTGCAGAATCACCCAAAGGTGAGTGGTGTGACAGAAGGAAATGTACTCATCACAAGAAGGGAAATAATGGTAACATAAGCAGTCGGTAAAATATGTGTTATGTGAATAATAAATCAGTGGCTTAACAAGCCTGTAAAGATCAATCCATAGCAGTCTTTGTAACCCATTATCTGTTGCACCTTTCTCTCTCTCTGTCTCTCTCTCTTTCTCTTTCTCTCTCTTTCTTTTTCTCTTTAAAGGTCAAAGGTCCCAAAATTGGAGTGATTGGATCAGGCAAAGGAGCAGAACTGGCTTTTTCAATGGCTGCCTTCCTCCCCGACGTGGCTGCTGTGATCAGTATCAATGGTTGCATCTCTAACACTGGCACTGCTCTTCACTGTGGCCAAGTAATCCTCCCAGGGCTCCCTTTTGATCTGGATAAAATCACTGTCACTTCCTCGGGAGTGTACAATGTTAAAGAAACCCTTGTAGACCCCTTGGATCCTGCTTATGGAGACAGCCTCATCCCCATAGAAAAAGCTAACTCTCACTTCCTTTTTGTGGTTGGAGAGGATGATAAACAGTGGAATAGCTCTTTGTATGCTGACTTGGCAATCAAGCGCCTAGAGGAGCACGGGAAAAATAATTACACTCTTCTGAGCTATCCCAATGCCGGTCATCGAATTGATCCACCTAACAGCCCATTTTTTCCAGTTGTCTTGGACCGGTGGCTGGGGGTCCCTGTTCTGGGTGGGGGTCAGTGCAGAGCCCATGCCATTGCTCAGGAGGAATCTTGGAAGAAGATCTTAAAGTTTCTGAAGATGCATCTAGAATGAAGGCCATCAAACTATAAAGTGGGGTTGAAGGAGTCCCCAAACAATGCAACAAATTGATTTCAAAGGAAGTTAAAGGCCTAAATCTGTATAGCTGTGTAAAATGAAAATTGAGATCTCATAGCTATCTACATGTTTTGGGGAGATGTAAAAGTACTAAGGAAATAGTACTTTTTTTGGTAGCAGTTCAAGGAAACTGATTCAGGGGTCAGAAGTATTTAAATTTTGTGTTTAGCAGAACCTGTCATTCTTAAGCTATCTATTGAATGAGGTTTTCGTTTGACTTATCCAGGAGAAGGTAGAGGCTTCAACTATAAAGAGAGAGAGAATTATTAAATGAAAGAGCAAAAATAGTTTTCATTGTGGCCCCCTTTGGTGTTAAAAATCAATTTGTGTACTGGTGGCTTCTCTACCTTCTATTTTTCACACTCTTTTTTACTCATAGAAAAATATTCTTATCTGCCACAGAAATATTTGTAAAATTTTTTTGACTGGGGTATATATTTGAATGTGATCTTATTATCGAATACACACCATTGTGTTTTTGATAAGGAACTTTATTTGGTGACATAAAGATCAACACGAAGCTGTAAGATCAGCTGTGTTGATCTTGGGTTTTTGGGGAAGTCACCTTTTTAAGGGTCAGCAAAGATTTCACCATGAAAAAATTCTTAGAAAACCTAAGTGTCTCTCCAGCAAACAACAGTCAAATGCTGAGAATGAGTCTCAGTGTTTATAGCATCTTTGTCCTCCTATTTCTTTCTTCTTACGTATTTGAAGTGTCAAAAGTTTATTGAATTCCAAAATAATTGCAGTGTAGAAATTAGATTCTTCCTCCTCTACCCCAGAAATCTAAAGTAAAATTTATTGGTGAAGGAGGAATTTTCTCTCTTTTAAATCACCATCTAGTGGGGTTTGAGCCTATGATTTTTTGAGAGTGTGTGCTTCAGGTTGGAGGATATTAAAAGTTTTTGTTTTTGTTTTCATTTAGGTTCCTTTTCCTGCTGTATGCGAATATTTCATTGGGGGGATGGGATGAGAGGATTTGTGACTGTGAGTTTTTATATATGTTTGGCCAGTAGCCTTTGGGTTCAGAATACCCTTAGAACCCCAGGATGAGTCATTGTTACAGTGCTTTTTATAACATTAACTATTTCTGAAGTAAAACCACACTTTGAAAGTTTTGATATTAGAAAAGGAAACTTCAGCAGATTGAATACGGTACGCTGCCCTTTCTTGGGGCTGTTCGTATAAAAACTAGAAAAGTGGCGAGTCGGCTGTTTTGAAATCTCTTTTCTAAAAACAACAGTAAAGGAAAATGTGCCTTTAAAAAACTAAGAGCCATGATTTGGGGTTGCCATTTGAAGTTTGATGTACTGTTCATTCTAATTTAATTTGAATGAATTTGACTTTAAGTATCCTAAAAGGGGCGTTAGTCACACAGCCAGATTTTTCAGTTGTGCTTTGATGTGCATTTTAAATAAAGCATGTCAAATCAGTATTTTGTTCCTAATCAGGCCGTTAGACCTAATAAATACCTCTCTCCCCTCTTATCCAAACTATGCACTTATTTTAAAAAACAGAAGTACTCTTGTATTTATTTATATTTGTCATCTTCTCTTTGTATCCATTTTTAGTCATAGGATACTATTTTGTGCATTCTTTTCAAAGTTTCTTGTATGGATAGATTTTTTTCTGAATTTATGGAATCCTTTTAAGTGATTTTGACTGTCTTAGCATCGTAAATCTTTGGCACACTGATGTTCCTTTTTTTAAGGTTGTTTGTTTAGGTAGAAATAGAACTATTTGACTTTAAGTCTCATTTGTGTTTAAAAAATTATACACAAGGGTACCCAGCTTCATGTATATACACAAGGGTGTTTAAAAAAATTAAACACAAGGATACCCAGCTTCATGCTGTGGAATTGTTTGTTTATTTATATTAAGGGTTTAAAGAACACAGCATCACTTTTTTTTCATAAATGTTCTTAAATTTTGAAATCAGAAATGTTGCTCTAAAATGTGTGTACAGAATATCATTAAACTAATTTTTGAAGACAAATTTCTGAAGAACATATGCAGAATTTATACAGTTTACTTGTGGTTAGTCACAATTTATTAGTTTTAGCCACAAGTCTTTGTGGTGTGAAGTGAGGAAAGATAACAATAAAAGGAGATTTTAAAAATAAGATAATGTTGGTTTCTGAGCCTAAAGATAACATTTATTTGTGAATGAATGACTACCTAGAATCATACTAAGTTAGAGAACAAAGGATCTTAGAGAGTCATCTAACCCAACTCCCTTTTACACGCAAGGAAACTGAGTCTCAGAACTGAAATGACTTGTCCAAGCTCATACCATCTGCTTGTGGATGAACTGGAACTAGAACCCAGATCTTTTTATACTGCCATTCCAATGATCTTGCCACAGTGCAGTTCAAGGTATTACTCATTTACATGAACACTCTGCAGGTTTTAGCAGATTTGCTTGAGAATAAGGTTCCTGATGTGAACTCAACCATAAAACTGTAGAAGAAGGTTTTTTTAGGCAGGGAAGAATTCTAACAGTTCTTCTGGGGTGCACAAGCTTGTCTCAATAATAAATCATTTTGTATAGGGCTTTGTGGCTTACAAACAGTAGTATGCTGGAGCCAGCTCTAGAGAGCTGATTGTTTAATTTTCAGCATGAGCGTTTACACCTCAGAAATTGGTGAACGTTACAAATTAGGGCTTGATTTATTTTGTTGATTATCTACACTTGTGAAAGTGATGGGGAAAATATTAATAATGCTGATTAGACTTCAAAGTGTATCCTAGGTACAGTCCTCCCTACCCCTGAATCTGGTTTTAAACATTTACCAGCACAACCCTGCTTATAAAGCAGTTTCTTCACAATCCTAAATGGTAATTAGTGCAAGTATTATCTCCATTTTACACATAAGGAAACTAAAGTGCTATAGCTGGAATTCTTACTTAAGCCTCTTGAATACAAATCCAATGAGTTCTCTATTACACCATGCAGATAAAAGAAAATTTGCAGTACACATATTATGATGGAACTGGGAATATTTAGCCTGAAAAAGAAAAGATTCAGGAGTGACGTAGTAGCTGTCTTCAAGTAGTTGAAGAATTGTTGTGAAAGCAGTAGGCTAGTTCTATTTGGCTCTCAAGGAGCTGTAAACTGTAGGAATGAAGGTTTCAGCTTAACATGTAAAGAAAAACTTCCTATAACAGGCAGCTAGGTGGTGCAGTGGTTAGAGTATGGGACTTGTGGCAGGAAGAACTGAGTTTGAACCTTGCCTCAGGTGTTTACTGGCTGTGTGACTCTGGGCAAACCACTTAATCTCACTGTGCCTCAGTTTCTTCATCTGTTAAATGGGGATGATCATAGCATCTTTATCACAGAGTTGTTGTAAGGATCAAATGAGTTAAACATATATAAAGCACTTTGCAAACAAACTCCTGTATAAATGCCAGCTACTATTATTATTGCTGCACACTACTCCATCCCACTTCGTGTTTCACCCATTCTTCTCAGTCTTTGTGTCCTGCCCCCTAGTCATGGGTGTCATCCTAGGCTCTCTGGCCGAAGTCCTCTTCACTCTTCAGTATACTCTCAGTGATTCCATCCACTGCCATGGGCTCACTTATCATCTCTATGCAGATGACTCCCAAATCTATGTATACAGCCTTTATCTGTGTACTGAACTCCAGTCCCATATTACCAAATGCCTGTGGGCATCACCTGGGCATCCCAGTTGTATTTCAAACTCGACAAGTCGAAAACAGAACACATCTCCCCCCCCACCCCCAACCTGTTCTGTTTCTGTTGAGGATTCCATTATCCTTCCAGTCACTTAGATTTACAACCCTGATGTCACTTTCAGCTTTTTTCACCTCACATCTGATCTGTTACTAAGTTGTGTTTATTCTGCCTCCACAAAATCTGGCTGTCTCTTCTATTCCCCTTCATTCCACTCACGTTGCCACCATCCTTTGTTGAAAACCTCATCGCCTCTCACCTAGTCTATTGAAATAGCCTCATAATTGGTCTTCCTGCTTTCAAAGGGCAGCCAGTGACACAGGGAAGTAGCTAGTGACAGGGCAGATAGAGCCCTGGTCATGGAGTCAGGAATACCCGAGTTAAAATGAAGCTTCAGACACTTGGGCAAGTCACCTAACCTGCCTGCCTCTATTTCCCCAACTGCAAGATAGGTAAAATAGTAGCACCAATCTAACCTAAGTGTTATGGGAACCAAATGGAATGCTATTTGTAAACAGGGCTAAACACAGTGCCTGACACATGTTTATTCTATTCCTTTCCTCTTCTCCCAGAGTCCTTTTTCCCAATCCATTGTCCACACAGCCTCCAAATTAATGACCGTGTCACTCTTTTGCTCAAGAAGCTTCCTCGACTCTAGAATATAATCCCACACTTGTCAGTTTAGCATTTAAAGTTCTCCAGAGTATGATTCCAGCCTACCTATTACTCCTTCTTGCACTTTTCATTCCAGTCAAACTGACCTACTTTCACTGTTCCATCGCCAGACACCCTGCCTTTGTACAAACTGCCCCACCATGCTTCAAATGCTGTCCTTCCTCACTTCTGCCTCTTACAACACTTAGCCTCTCTGAAGGTTTAACTCAGGTGACACCATTAGCAAGAAGACTTTTCCCAATCTCTAGTTCAGGGCTTCTTCCAGCGGTGGGGAACCTTCCGCCTCGAGGCTACATGTGGCCTTCTAGGTTCTGGGGTGCAGCCTTTTACAGAACAAATCCTTTTATTAAGAGGATTTGTTCTATGAAGTTTGGATTTGGTCAGAGGGCCGCCCTTGAGGACCTAGAGGGCCAGATGTGGCCCCCAGGCCGCAGGTTCCCCCGCCCCTGCAAGTCTAACCCGTGTGTCCTGGACCCTTTGGCCCTCTGGTGATGCTTGTGGACCGCTTTTCATAATTATAGAAACCAAAGTTTAGTGAACATAAAGATGTCATTTTCTCCTTACTAAGTTTGTGGACTCCCAGAAATCAGACTGGACTCCAGGTTGAGAACCCTTCCCCTATTGCTAATCTGTTTTATCTTTAAATCATCTGATAATTTTCCTATTTGGGCCCATCTTGTACTCCAGCTCACTGCTTTTCACATTCATTCAGTTAGCATTTATTAAGAACCCAAGGCAATGGAGCGAAAAAGACAAACTGGAAAAAGTGATTGCCTGATGCGTATACTTATTGTGTATATTCTGTCATCGTCTCCGTCCCCCCGCCACACACACTTTGAGAGTCGACGATATTTTTATCTTTCTTGACAATTATTTTTTTGGGGGGGGATTCTTTTGGATGAACTTGGCTAAATGAATTTTCAATTGCTTATGAGAAACAAATGCATAAGCAAGGAGCAGCAGCATTCTTCTCCATCTGCTCATTCCCTGCAGCACCCCGGAGCAGAAACAACGAAAGAAATTATTCTGCTTTCTCCCCAGCCTTGCCCAGAAACCATGCACTGCTCTTTACTGCTACCCGCTCGGTTTCCATAGCCATACAGACCCGCCCCATCCCCCCTCTCTTTCCCCCTCCCCCGCCCCCTGCAGGCCGGAGCGGAAGGACTCTGCCGACCCCTTTAGTCATCCCACAATGCCTCTCGCCGCACGCGCGCGACCGGGAGGGAAGGTGGTGCTGCTGCACGGGCGCGCGCCTGTGTGTACCTCCTGGCACTGCGCATGCGCCCAGGCCCAAGCTGGGCCCTAGCAACCACCGCAGTGACAGTAGCAACGGAGCGGAATGGTAAGTAACCTCCAGGGTTTGGGGAGACTAACCTTGGGTTGGGGGTAGCGGGGGTCGGGGGCGGAGAAGTAGTGGTGAGGGGCGTAAAGGGACGCTTACTCGGAGGAGGGAGTCTAGGACGAAGGGGAGGGGGAGGGTCTGTTGGGGAGAGGGGCCTGGGGCGGATGGCTGCGGCTTGGGCGGGGGGCAGTGGGAGCCCGAGGAGGAGAAGGGGGATGCAAGGGGGATGAAGTGAAGAAGAGGTGGGGGAGAAGAAGGCGAAGGGAGCCTCTTGCACTGGAGGAATTCTCTTCTCCACGAGAGACGGGGAGGGCTCCAGTTGTGATTGGCGCAACAATGTACACTTGTTATCTCTAATTAACGGTGAGGATCATCTGTGGGCGGTGATGCTGCAAACCCGACTCTCCGGGAGGTTTGCTAGCTGCCTGCATCTCTCCTCGCTGCTTTGCGAAGCCCGGATTTGCCTGGTAACGGGGCAGTGACTGTCTAAAGGTAAATGCCAAGCTGCAGTGAGCCATTCTCCTGTCTGTGTACAGCCTTGAAAACTCAAACCAGTTTCTCGAAAGGGAATAGGTATTGATTGGTTGAGAGTCGTGCTTCCAGACTCTTCTGGCCAATTTAGGACAGCAAGTAATCGTCCTTCAGGGCGGTTGTTTATGAAGAGTAGGTACGGTTCTCTTTTTGAAATTCCAAATGCTCAAATAGACAGCAATTATACCAGGGGGACAAGGGGTGGGTGGGTGGGGTAGGACCGGGAAGGTAGTTACAGCAAGAGTGATTACTGCTCTTCTTTCCGTAAATGATCTTTCCTCCTCCCACCCCCCCCCCCTTGCATTTATGTGGTCAGAGCTAAGAGCTAAAAAGGTTTTGGAGTTCAGTTCTAAATTTTAGCAAAAAAAAAAAATCTGGCCTTAAATAGTTCCTTGGGTGTGCGTCATGGAAGTTAATTAACAGGTTCAAGTATGTCTTTTGAACTGGTAGACAGACTCAGAGGGAAATCAGTGGCTTCATACTATTTCTCTGTTTATTGAGGAGAGAATCCCATAAAAATTTAGGTTAGTCTGAAACCTCTAGAGGTGCAAGGTGTGTGTCCAGGAAGCAGAACTGAAGAAGACAACCCGCTACTGCTTTTACGACCAGTAAAACCAGGAAATGAATAGCTGAGAAGCACTTCGGCTTTGTGGATAGAGTACTGGCTAGGTCTCGAAGCCCTGGATTCAAGTGCCTTGTGTGACTCTGAGCAAATCATTTAGACTTTCATTGCCTCCAGACAACTGTCTAAGGCTGTGAGTTACAGGGGAGACAAATGTTCACCTACGTTGGCTGAGAGGGAGTGCTGGTAAATGTTTAACAACCAGCTTCTCCCCTAAAAAAAAAATCGTATCTGCATTAACATTTTCTCCGTAACTTTTCAGTCTAGACAGTTAACAAAACAATAAATCAGGTCCTGATTTGTAGTTTGCTGATTTCCAAGGTATAAATACTGGCAGTAACAATTTAACAGTCTTCTCTGAGAGCAATTGAATCTGGCTCTAACACATGCCTGCCACAGAAAATTGAACATTTGACTCTTTCTAAAAAGTTGGAGCTGACTTTAGTACACCCAGGCAGCTAAGTGGCCCAGTGGAGAGAGTGCCTTGGAGGCCAGAGGTCCTGAGTTCAAATGTGAGCTCAGCCACTTATTAGCCATGTGACCCTTGGGTGAGTCACTTCACCCTGTTGCCTCAGTTTCCTCATCTGTAAAATGAGCTGGAGAAGGAAATGGCAAACCACTCCAATATCTTTCCCAAGAAAACCCCAAATGGGGTCACAGAGAGTCAAACAGCTAAACAACAGCCAGCACACCCAGGTACCCCATACCAATGAAATCCCAAGTCCAGTCGCATTCCATCGATGCAACCCCCTGGTTGCAGGTGATAAAATATATGGATTATGGGTTTGTGAGGAAAGTGCCAATAATGCTGTACAGCTTTTTCTTGTTTGTTGCTATTTTTTGGTGATTTTGTTCCCTTAAGGTGTAGGTGAAGCTTTATTCACAGAAGTTGAGGAATATTTTCAGCCTTTTATTTGGTAGATGTTACTGTGGTCAGTTTGGGGGGGTGGTGACATATTAAAATAATAAAATTCTTTTCTGTCCTTTTTGAAGGTGGTAATTCCATGCTAGTCTCAATCAGAATTAGAATGATACATAATTTGACTTAAAAATAAAACAGATTTTAACATTCATTAAGCAAATATTGATCGAGTGTGTAAGGTACTAGGAAGATGCAATGCAAAATTATGAATTGTTTGATTAAGTAACCTTATATGTAAAGAATAAGAAAATTAAAGAAGCTTTGTTCAAAACTTTTTAAACAACATCAATATTGAAGTAAATTTACCCAAATAAAATTTTGGCTTGATTTTTAAGTATCACATTGTTACTACAAAGAGTTTTTACTTGGAAAGCAAAACTTGCATATACTTAAATACAAACATGAAAGTTACTTAACATTTGTACACAATAGATTGAATTAAACTGAAAGTATATATCTTAGTATTAGTGACATGACTTATGGGACTTCTATATCAAATTTGAACCAATAAGAGCTTCAAGTTAATTTCAAATTCCCCTATCCTCTCCAACTTCCTACTCTGCCTTTTAAACAGCTTGTGATTTTAGAGTTGATAGGAACCTTAGATACCATCTAGTAATAGTATTAGTAGTATCTTAGATACCATCACTCTTCCTCATTTTATAGATGACTTCTCATACAGTGTGCTAAGTACTGTGCTTAGGCCCTTGGGATAGAAAGATGGTCCCTGTCCTCAAGCACCTTGCATTCTATCAGGGGAGACAGTATGTACATATACACACATACAAGATAAATACAAAATAAATGGTGCCTTGTTTTGTGCCCCTCTGATGAACTCATGATGATTATAGTTTCTTAGCTATGTGCCCAGTTTCCCTACCAAACCATAAACTAGACTAAATACAAAGCAGGCATTTAATAAATACTGAATTGAATTAAAGTGTAGTCGGGAAAGTTTTCAATTCATTCTTCTGAAGCAGACACTTCAGTTTTATTTAGGTTACTTGGTGGACATTTCTATGGTGAAATCTTAGGAATTGAAGACATTGTGGTAACAACTCATATGTGTCAGAGGAAAGCCTTTTTTACCCAGGGCAGTCTAAACAGAATGCCTAGGGCAAATTCAAAAATGATTGACTAGACCGAAGAATAGTCACTGACAATTACTAATGTGAGAGGGAGCAGGGTGTGGTAAACAGTATGCTGGACCTGGGATTAGTAAATCTTGCTTCTGATGCATTACTTGTATGTCCATGGACAAGTCATTTAACCTCTCTGAGCCTTAGCCTGTTTCTTCATTGGTAAAATGAGAACAATACCTGTGCTGTCTATCTCACAGGGTTGTTTTGTGAGATCCAAATGAGATGCTCTATGAAGTACTTTGATAGAGAAGTGTAAATTATTATTCTCATTAATTAAGAGTCAGGATGTAGAAGTTTGGCTGGAGAGTCAGCCTTAGAGACAGACTGACCTGAGTTCAAGACCTGCCTAATTTCACATCCTAGCTGGATGACCACAGAAAAATCACTTAATCTTTCTGTGACCAACGAAACTCCCTAAGATAGTAAATCATGGATGTTGCTGATCTGCACCACTGGAGGCATGTCCTACACCAATGAAGTAACAGAAAAAAATGTGGGCCCCCAAAAGTATTAATCAATTCAATTCAAAAGACATTTATTAAGTGCCTATAATATATAAAGCTCACTGCTTAGAGGGAGGTTTTCAGCAGGTGGGATCTGCCCTTGGCCCTTTGGTGTTTAACATTTTTATCAGTGACTTGGATGGAGGCATGGATGGCATACTTAACATTTGTGCAAATAACACAACTCTGGGAGAATTAGCTAACTGGGATAAGATAGGAGCCAAGGAGCCAATAAGATATTGGGAGACTGGAACCCTGGGTTGAATCTAATAAGATGGAATGTAATGGGGATAAATGTAAAACCCTGTACTTGGGTTCAAAAATTAGCTTTGCAAGTAGAGAATAAGGGAGGTGTACCTAGCAACAGTTTGCGTGGAAAAGGTCAGAAAATCTAAGTGTACCACACACTCAGTCTTAGTCAACAGTGTGAAAACTAAGAGAGGAATAGTGTGTGGACCAGGGAAGATGATAGCCCCATTGTACTCTGCCCTGGTCTAACAACAACTGGAGTACTGTGTTTAGTTCTGGGTACCACATTTTAGGAAGGAAATTTGATGAGCTATTTCCTGAAGAGGCCACCAGGATGGCAAGACATTTAGCCTGGGGAAAAAAGTAGATTTAGAAGAGGACATGATAGCTGCCTGCAAATATTTTAAGGACTGTCATGTAGAAAATGGATTAGATTTATTCTGCTTGGCCCAAGAGAGCTGCACTAGGAATGAGTAAAAGTTGCAGAGATACAGATTTTTAGCTAGGAGTGAACACAAAAATTCTAACAATTAGAGCTGTCTAAAAGTAGTTTTGAGGTCTTCAAGTGTAAAGTTGATAACCACTTGTTGGGTATGTCATAGAGGGAATTTCTGTTCAGATATATGTTGAATTAGATGACTTCTCTGGACCCTTATAACTCAGATTCTATGCTATAATGTTAATTACATAAAATTAGTTCCTATATTACACTGAAGTATATACTATTTGCATATGATTAACTGAAATTTATGATAAAGTTCTAGGCTAGTGCTGCTTCAGGGTCGTTTGGAATAATATAAACTGTGTAATTATCTCCTGTTGACTTTGGGAAAGGCCAGGTTGTATATAATAGAATCACTTAATTGAAAAGAATAATTTTAAATGTGACTTAAAAATTATGGAAGTGTGTATAAGTGCTGCATAGGAAAAATAGTTCATTTAGCATTTGTAGATAGGCACATTACCCACATAATCAAATAATGATTCAAAACATTTATTCAGTCAAAAGCATTTATTAAGTGCCTATATTGTATAGTATATGTAATGTTTGAAAATTATATTTTTTGTCTGGCTCATTTTCTCATTGTCCATCTTCAGGAAACAGAATAGAGGGAGTATAAAATTTGGAGTTGATCTGTTTAAAAACTGGGGCAGCTAGGTGGCATACTAGATAGACTGCTGGGCCCAAAGCCAGAAGTCTTATCTTCTTGAGTTCAAATCTGACTTCAGACTAGCTGTGTGACCCTGGCCAAGTCACTTAACTCTGTTTGCCTCAGTTCCTCATCTGTAAAAAATGAGCTAGAAAAGGAAGTGGCAAACTACTCTAGTATCTTTGCCAAGAAAACCCCAAATAAGGTCACAAAGAATCAGACATGCCTGAAACAACTGAACAACCATTTAAAAACATTTCATTTTTTAAAATCAGTGGATATCTATCATTTTTTTAAAGGTTAAATAACATAAATAGCTGAACTTTCATTTTGGGGGTTTGTTCTTAAAACAAATTTCAATGAAAACCAGGCTGATATAAATCTATACCTGCCCTGCCATATGTAAAATATATTTCTTAAATACATGGTATTCAACAGCTTATTTTTCCTTGGAAACTAGATGGGAGTAGAATTTATGTGTATGATAATAGCCCTGAAATGACAATCATTCTTTTTTTTTGTTGCAACATCCTTAAGTTAAGCACCCCTGATTTCTCTATAGAAAATGTAAATACCTCACTATCAATGTATAGTACTAAAAAAAGTTAATATTTTTAATGGGATAAACAGTTGACTAAAAAATTATATCATAAATTAGCTAAGACAAAGAGGATACCAATAAAGACACCTTACTTAAATTTTTTTTTTTTAGGCAAAAGCAACAACAATTAAAGAAGCACTAGCCAGATGGGTAAGTATATGAACTCTTTTAAAAATTATAGAAAGCATACTTTTTGACCACTAGAAATTTGGAACTTGTAAATTAATTAACTTTTAAGAATATAATTATTTGGCCATCTCAATTATGTCTGATTAATAATCATCATTCAATAAGCATCCATTCAATAATCAATGAATTTCTAGAAAAAGCCATCTATACTCATTGTCTTTATTTTTTCACCCCCCCCTTCACATCTCAACTCTTAATATCTGGTTTACAGTCCTTCCTCTCAAATGAAATTACTCTCACCAAGTCTACCAGTGGTCTGTTTCTCAAATCCATTGAACTTTTCTTGGTATTTATCCTTCCTGACCTTTCTGTAGCTTTTCACCCTGATGACGACTAGGTACTCCTGTATATTTTATCCTTTTTGTGTTTTTGTGATATTACTTCTTAGCTTTTTTTTTTCTGGATCATTGTTCCATTTTCTAGCCCCTTGTGTGTGATTATACCCTAGAGCTCTTTCCTAGCCAGTCACTTCTTACCATAGACTCCTTCTTAGTGAGTTCATTAACTCTCCTAGGTTACTTCCAGATCTGTTTATCCAGCCCTTATCTGTCTACCAACTTCCAGTCCTGCATTACCAACTGCCTGCTTAGATGTATGAATCAGTGACCCATCAGCATCTCAAACTCAATGTGTCCAAAACAGAATTCATTATCTCTACTCCACAAACCACACCTCTTTCTAACTTCCTTATTTCTGATAAGGGTATCACTATCCAGTCACCCAGGTTCACAATTTTGGGGTCATTCTTCACTCTTTACTACCCTTTCCTTCACCCTTTTATCCATTCAGTTAACAATTCTTATCAATTCTATCTTCACACCAAGTTTTATAGCCTTGTATTTATTGTTTTTCTGGAATTGTAGGACCCGGGGAAGATAGATTACAGTGGATAAAATAACAAAATATTTCAATGGTTCTTTACTTTCTACAGCTCTTCACTAGTTTTACTAATTTACTTAGTTACTTTTTATTCATTTCTGTCTGGTTTCTACTCAGGGAGAATTCTGCATTATAAAGTTCTGATTTGTTATAATACCAGTATATAAGTTATAATATTTCCAGTGTTTACTTCCTGAGGTTTTGGTAAAGGAAGGGACTTTCAGTTCTTTGTGATTTAGATTGGACTTCTGGACAAGATGGCTGCCTGAACAGTGGTGGGAAATCCAGCTCCCATACCCCTATTCCAACAAAAACTTAAAAATAGCAACAGATTGAATAATAATCAAGAAATCTAGCTTCTTTTCAACTTCTCTCAACTCAGAACTGCTCAGACTTCAGCCGCAATTCAACAGGTCCCCATAGGAAAGGGGACCCACCAGTAAAGCCAGTGCCTATACTGGCAAACAAGTCGGTAGCCTCCCACATACCTGAGGCCAGTCTCAGGTGTAGTCTGCAAGGCTCAGGATCTGGAGAAGGCTAGAGTGGAGGGCTCTCCTGAGAAAGCCCCATGGTGGTTAGAAAGCTGCAGTGTGGACCTGGGAAGTGACCATGAGTAGCAGTGACTAATATGGGGAACCTATAGTTCTAGAAGTGCTCAGACTGGGACACCCCAGATATGGGCTTAATTGTCTCTAGCAAGATTGAGAGTGATGTGTCTAAGCCCATAAAGTGAAGGTCAGCGTAGAAATCCAGGTCAAGACCAGGTAGGACCAACCACCCCTCTGAAAAAGCGTAATGGAAGGCAGAGCCTCACCCTGTCACAAAGCCCTGATTCAGGAACTATAGCTGGAGAAAAGACTATATTCAAAGAGATATATGCTACCATAAAGTATTATATTAAGTTCTAAGATAACTTAAAATCCAACTTACATGGAAAGAGATACTTGGCATCAACCTTGTGCAGAGACCCAAAAGAAAAAATAGATTTTCCATAAGGACTATGTGATTTCCTAAAAGAAGTGAAGCAAGAGATAAAAGTGAAACCAAAGTATTGGAGGAAAGAATTGAAAGGAGAATAAGTAGTTCAGAAGAAAAGTGGTAAATCTTACCCAAGGAATGAAATCCCTAGACATTTTATAACAGATCAAACAGAAATCACTGACTCTTTGAGGCAGCAAGAAATATATGAACCAAATCAAAAAATTGAAAAAATAGCAAATGTAACATGTTTGGTATTGAAAGCAACTCACCTGGGATATAGGTCAAAGAGAAAGAATTTAATAATCACTGGGCTCTCTAAAAACTTTGATTAAAAAAAAAGTCTGAATTCTATATTAAAATGGTTTTTAAAGTTTTATTACATATGTGTTTTAGCACTAGTGATTTAAATATGTAAATCATGTTCATTTTAAATCCTGTGCACTTACCACATATTTTTTCAATAAATACTCCCTCTTCATTCCCAATAAGAGTAATATCAATAACAGTCCTACCCCATTAAGGCAGTTAGTCATGGACAGTAACAGGCTGCTGGTTGGACAAGTTACCCCAAAGGACAGAATTAGTCAAGGACTAATTCTGTTTGTGTGGGTTTTGTTGAAAAAAAATTTTTTGTTTTTAAAGAAAAGGAAGAAGGAAGAAAAGAAGCTCCAGAATTTTAAAGCATATGTCAGCTACCAGTTGTTCTGGTTTCAGATTACTGGGTGGTCTATCAGTAGTATATCTGTCAGGTAAAAATATGCATCTTCTTTATAACCTGGTGGTCTCAAGTTAAAAAAATTCACAGAAAGTAAAGAAATAATATAAAAACATAGCTCAAGAAATATATTAGAGAGTAAAACTATATGAGGTGAACAAAAGTATTTTGCAGGAACAGCTACATTTCACATGGCTGTTTGACCCCTGTCAGATAAGTGGAAGGAGTAAACAGTCACTAGGGAAGAAAAAAAAATTTAAATAAAACAAAAAAATTTCAATAAGACATTTTGACTGGTTACAGAGGCAACCAGCAGGGGTAGGCTAGTCTACAGCAGGAATGATCTGTACCCTAAAAGGTTAGCCATGCCAGTTTTAGTCTTTGAATCTCTGTTAACAAGGGAGACAGTTCAGATGTCTTACAATGCTAATACTTCAGTGGCTCAGACTCCTCACTTGAATATAAATCCTATTCCATTCTAATTTTACTTAAATTAGCCTGAAAAACTTGCAGTTATAGCATAGGAAGAAAAATAAAACACTCATGGTCCATTTCTTGTGGTTAAATCAGATTTTAGAGCTGGATTTGCTCATAAAAAATTCATGGAAAAAAGTTAAATATGAGTCTGTGGCTCTGCTGAGTCAAGTTCCCCCCCACCCCCACCCCTTGGTTAATAGTCAGAAATCATTCACTGTCTAGGTTAACAGGTACCTACAGATGACTGTCTGGACAAAAAAAGTCTGTCTCAAAACCACTGTTATCAATCTCAGGTTGGGAAGAAAGGGGAGTCTAAAAATCAGTGCCAGTGCAGACATGTCTAGGACCCCTGTCCCTCTGGATCCATGCTTCCTTCAGGGTCTTCATCATTGTATATGTTCTCAGCCTTCTGCCAGGCATGCATGATATTGGCTTCTGATACAGAACAAATAACCCAAGGTTCGTTGGCGTTCCAGGAGAAATCTGATATCTTGGCAGTGTGGCCACCGTGAATAAACAATGATTCTGGTAGCCTATCTTCTAGAACTTCAGGCGACTGCTCTTTTCCAGTTTTACTCAAGTCCCAGACATCTAGCCTGTGGTCAGTGCCACTGGAAGCCAAGATAGTTTCGTTGTGGAGAGACCATCGAACCTGGAATATTTCATCCTTATGTGACTCAAAGGAATGCAACTTCAGTTTCAGGTTTCTAAGATCCCACAGTGCAACTGTCTTATCAGCTGATCCTGTGGCAAGAATAAACTCACTATAAGGATTGAAAGAGGGGCAGTTAGGTGGCACAGTGGATAGAGCTCTGGCCCTGGAGTCAGCAGGACCTGGGTTCAAATCTAGTCTCAGACCAGACACTTGACACTTACTAGCAGTGTGACCCTGGGCAAGTCGCTTAACCCCGATTGCCTAAGCAAAAAAAAAAAAAGGATTGAAAGAGAGACAATTTTCTTTGACAGTGTGAGCATCCACTGAGTGGCTTGGTTTGATCGTGTGTCCCAGATTATAAACTTCTCATCGTCAGCAACTGATCCAAAAAGAGATTCGTGGAGCAGGTGCCAAGAAACATCTTCAACTACTGCTGTATGTCCAATGAATATGGTGTTTGCGTCTACTATCTTACCTTCCTTTGGAACTGCACTGATGTCCCACAAGCAGATGGTATGATCATCTGATGCACGAAGCAAGTGTCCGCTGAGATTTGGGTTCCAAGACAGGCCATAGCCCTCCTTTTGATGTCCACAGAGACACAAATCTGGGTTACACTCCCTAGAAGGGTCTGGTTTTTTGGGTTTTTTTAGGCAATTGGGGTTAAGTGACTTGCCCCGAGCTGCACAGCTAGTAAGAGTTATGTGTCTGAGGCCAGATTTGAACTCAGATCCTCCTGACTTCAGGGCCAGTGCTCTATCCACTGCACCGCCTAGCTACCCCAAGGGTCTGGTGTTCACGAGTGCTTGGTGTAGTCAAAAACAAGGACATCACTGGATGGAGTCTTTGTTGCAATAATGCAAGAATTTGGGGGCACATAACGGGCCCTGTTTGCTTTGCCTTCATGGTTAATCTTGATTTTAATTTCAGTTTTCCCACTAACTGAGCCAAAGCCTCCAAATTCTCCTTTCTCACTGTCGTAATGAGAGGCATCAGACTGAGCATCATCACTGGGGAGCTGCACTCTGGGTATCACAAGATGGTTTTGTTCATCTGATGTTGTGTGTGCCCACGACAAGTCGAGGAATGCTGAAATCTTTCCCTTCAGGTCTGGTTACATCTGGAAGCCACTGTGCAGCCACTAGGCCACTCTAGGGCATGGGTCATCACTAAGTCATAGAGAAAAGGAGTATTTTTGTCTATATTTTATGCTCTTCGTTGATCACTCATTCTTCTCCAACATCATCAAAGGCT